GGAGTGCAGCGTGCCAGGCCCTGCTGGCTCTAGCTCCTGCTGCCCTTTCCCTGCCTGCTGGCCTGGGAGCAGGACACAGTGGAATGGGCAAAGACAGGGAGCTGCCAGTCCTGAGAGAGACCTCAGGAAGATTGCTTAGAAACTGCAGGAAAATGAGGACTGGTTGTCACAGCGCAAGTGACTGTCACAGCTTAATAATCAGCGGGCAGAGGGGGTGGCAGCACAGCCTGACGCTGTCTAATTTTGCAACCGCTGTTGTAGCGGTGGGTGCGAAGCTCTGAAACGGGGCACAAGAGCTGCGGGTTGCACAGAAGGGGATCAGGAGGGATGCTGAGCCGTGGGTTGGAGGAGTGAGGGATGCTGAGCTGTGAGGAATGAGGGATGTGGTACCTGGACCACGGGATGCTGGCCTGCTCCCTGCCTGTCCCTCCCACCCAGTGCTGCTGTAGCTCCGAGGGGGACTGGAGCTAATCATACCGGAGCTAATCACACTTCATTATCATCAAAGGAATTCTTGGAGCTGTGGGAAGGGCCCAAGGGGGGTTGTGGGGCCAGCCCCTGCACCTGAGCTGGTTCATCTCTGTCCTCAGGCGCAGGTCACCCTGGAGATCTCCGGCAGATCTCCCTCTGGTGCCTGGCCTCTCTGGGGAGACCTGTGCCTGGCTGTTGGAAGCAGGAAGGAATGGGATTTGGCACTGGATAGCTTGAAACTCATCTTGTGTAAGGCTGGGGCAAATGGTTGGGCACTGCTGGGGCTTCTGGGACCTCAGTGGCTGGGGCATTCCTGAGCAGCTCCATGCAGGCTTCTTTGCTGAGAGGCGGTGGCAGGTCCAGGCTGGAGTTTATCTGCCAAGGGAAGGGAACTGAGGCTCCATAAGGAGCAGCCCTGTGGTGGGTCTGAGTCACTGGTGGGGTGGGATGTGCCAGCAGGAGAGCAGGGCCAGGACCCACTGTACTGGGATGCACCTTGTCTAACCTCAGGCAGGGTCATCCTTCTGCCCTGTGCACAGGAGAGCGCGCAGAGGGGCCTTACTCTGCATTGGGGATCCAGAATCCAGACTTCCTCATGGCCTGTGAGGCTGGGAATGGCTGGATCAGTCTGGGGCAAGTGACCCCTTGCTCTGCCCTCTTGGCCAGTACTCATCTCTGTAGCTCCTGTGGCACTGGTGGGGGCTCACAGCCACCTGCACCCTTTCTTCATGTGCCAGAGGAACCAAGTGGGCCAAGCCACAGCCACTGGCTTGTGTGCACAGTAGCTTTTGGAGGGGCCTCTTGGAGCAGGCAGCATGCTCGGGGGCTGCTGACACTACTGTGATGAGTTTTTGGGTCTCTGCCTCGTGGGCTGGTGGGCTGGGAGGCAGCTCTCCAGTTACTGCATCTGTCTTTACTGGCGCTACATCTGTGGGATGGGGTCCCAGAGAAGCCATGGTCATGGGGGCAGTTCTCCTTGTCCCCCCATCCATCATAGCCCTGTGCCTGGTTTGCCAGTGGGAAATGAGCTCTGCTGGTATCTGCCATCCGTCACCCATCCCGACATTTCGGTCTGCGGCATCGCTGGGTGCCTGGCACAGGATGGGTGGCACCAGCCCCTGGCAAGGCAAATGCTCCACATGCTGCTCCTATGGCTCCAAAGCCTCTTCCTGCAGGAAACCAGGCCTTGGGGCTGCATTCTCGGGTCTGCCACAGCCCTGGCTCCCAGGGGCCTTCATCCTCCGGGAGAAGCCAGCTCAGCTTTACAAAGCCCTGGGGCACCAGGAAAGTGGTCCCTGAGGAGCCTTTTCTCCAGGCTTTGGAAGGCGCTGAAGTGAGAGGAAGCTCTGGCAGCTCCCAGGGCAAAGCCGGTTGGATTCAGAAGGGCCCCTGTTTTTGTTAGCTGTAAGGACTGGGAGGCTGGGGGGCAGTGGCTCAGCCGGGCCAGGGGGCAGCATCAGGCTCCGGGTGCTGGTTTCCAGGTGAGGATGCTTGCAGCTGCTCCATGTAGGAACGACTGTGCTCTGTCAGGAGGACAAGCCCCCATGCACTGTGTCCCCCCAGGGACCCACCACCTCTTTTGGATGGTGCCGGTTGCTGCTCCAGCCGTGGCTGGATCTCCAGCATGGAGATGTTTAGTCTCTGTGACGGTGACGGGCTGTGCAGAGCCACGGTCCCTCTGCCATCCCTCCCCGGGGAAGGAAGAGGGGCCGGGGCCGGGACAATGGGTTGTGGCGCTGACTCAAACAACCAGTTCCTGGTCGCTTCCTTTCCCCGCCGGAGCTGGGGCGGCGGGGACGCAGGGG